CTGGGAAAGTGCAGACCCAAGTCTTCTGACCCCCAAAAAATCACACATCCCCTACCACACTGCGCAGAAAGAGAAACTGCGAGCTGTGTTCCCTATGAGAGTGGTCCTTTCCACTCCAGCCACCCAGCTCAAGTCAGCTGCTGCCCTCCCCCTTCCACCTTCTGCTTCCTCTGGCCAGAGGCTAAAGGAAGCTTGTTACCTTTTCAGCCGATAGACCCACTTCCTGAGCCAGCCCTGGGTGCTAGTATACACACAGCCCAGCTCCCTTGTGCCCAGAGACCTGCTCACCAGCCTCTGGTCACATCTGGAACATATTTTAAATTACTGCTAACCACACTGCAAAATACGTTTTTTTGAAGCAAAGATTGCAAGAGATTAAGCTGGTGGCTTAGGCTCACTTGCTGAAGTTCAGCACAGGAGATCTGCATCCCCATTCCCCCTGCTCTCACTGGCTCTGCCTGGGCAACTGAACACGGGAAGTTTGGTCCTGATATTGCTGCTCGAGAGCATAGAACATTCAGTTGTCTTCTGGACTCACAGCTTCTACCTGCAAGCAGGGAGCAGTGGAAAGTGGTCTAGGATGAACAGTGCTGGTGGACACACTCAGGTTGGAAACCCAACTGACCCAAGTGTGAGTTCCACACCTGTGTGATTCTGGGTGAGGCATCCAACTGCACCAAGCCTATGCTTTCTCCCCTGAATAAGAGAGGGCTATGAGGGAGTATGAGATAATGCGAGCACCTACAACAAAGTTCTCAGCAAATGCATTTTATCTGTATCACCTCCAGCAGCAGCCTCAGCTCTCTCCTGACCTCCACAGTATTGGGGCAGTCATTGAATTGCTGAGCTCTGAGTTTCTTCACCTGCACCAGCAGGTTGGGCTCAATTATCTCTTGGGTCCTTTCCTGCACTGATTTCCTATAAAGCCATCTTCACTTTGTGGAGGGGGATTTTCTTTTCCTGTTTGTTGGATGAATAAAATCACTCGTTCCCCAAACCTCTTGCAAAGGAGGGACTCCACTTGGCATGGACTTTCACTGGAAACAGCTCTTCTTTTCCAGAATTGGAATAAAAAGCATGTGTTGTTTACTGTTTGTTCAGGTTCAGAGCAAAAGAGAAATGGTAGAGTAGCTTCACGTGACCAGGCGGTCTGAGGCGGGAGGGCAGGTGTGGTTAATGTGTCAAATCCACATCCTCTGCTCGGTCTGGGGTCACTCAGAGGGCACACCTATTGTGTGACAAAAGTAACAAAACCGTATCCCCAAAGATCTGCATCCTGGAGCGGAACTCTTCCAATCAGAACCCGGGAGTGATAATCACTGAGGGGGCCATAAGGGGAAGTAGGGAGGTGATGAAGTTACCACTGGCCTGTGATGCGGGGAAGGGGGGTAGAAAAGAGAGAAAGAGAAATAGTCCTAACGGCATTAACCAAGCCTTCCAAACCCCAGCCAGGGGGTACAGTTATAGACAAATGCCTGCTTCAACTCTTAAGAACAAGTAAAAGGAAAGGTTTCCTACCCCTTCTTCTGAAAGAGTTTTGCCATTTGGACAGGCTTTCAGGGTCACTTTCTGACCCATCTCTGGAAGAACAAGGACTCCCAGACCCCTCCTAACTTGTTTGTTTGTGAGAACAAACCAATGTGTCTTTATTCAAAATACAGATCGATGCCCAGTCCTAGCCCTCAGGTTTTCTGAGGCCCTTCTGCCTCCCGTCCCTTGCTTGTGCCCACTAGCCTGTGGCCACTCTTGGAAAGAAATGTCCTTCCAGTTAAACATGCTTTGGGCTAATTAATTTATTCCATCTGTTTTTCCTCAGAACTTTGACCATGACACAAAAGTTCCCAAAACAGATTTGGTTCTTATATTGACCAATCAGGTCACCATAATTGATGGAGGATAGAGTATGGAAGACTAAAGGAAAGGAGCACATAAGATCTCTCCTCCACCCCCTTCATTTGCCTGGCTTTTAGGCAAATTGCGGATTTATCCAGTGTGTTAAAGAATGGAGACATCTGAAACTGCATAGAAGAGAAGCTAATCTCTACTTTGCAAGGGAATTTTGAAACCTAACCTTGTTCAAATCATTGATAGAAGGAATGGGAAGGAAGAGAAGTAAACCAACTCATGCATAATTGTTGAATGAATGAGTGAGTGAACAGTACTAATTGAGCAACTACCACGAGCCAATTCCCTTACCAGGTGGCTTCCATGTAGTTAATCTTCAGAACAAGCTTATGGTCGGTAGAATAATGTCTTTGTCACAGATGAGGCCACTGTACCCCCAGGAAAGTGGAAAACGTGCCTGGCGTCACTCAGGCCTTGATTCAACCTCAGCTCCGCATCACCCTAAAATCTACTACACCTACCAGGCCACACTAGGAAATGTGTAACACCTTGTGCATTTTCCAAGTTCTGATGACTCAGTCTCTACCAGGACCCCAGAGTGTCTTCAGAAGTGGGGAAAGTAAGGCAACCTGACTTTGCACGTGAGCTCGCCCTGACAGGTTTGCAGAAGCAAACGGGGCCTCAGGTGTACACACTTCCTTCATTAGGTTAGTCGCCTTTATTCAAAATCAAACGCCCTTTATCTGAATTGACAGGAAGTTTCTGATCAAATATTACAGAGTCTGTGCCTCTAGGTGCGAACCTGAGTGAGTTCCTCCGTTTCCCCTCGGTTAATGCCTTGTGGCTAGAGTGCCAGAACTGAGCAGTGTGAGCCGGTCTAACACGATGTGGCAGCTCACATCCGAGGGAGAAAGCAGCTCCTCTCCGCCGTCTCCCCGTGCCCACGTGTACAGCGTGTGCATTTCCAACCCGGTCTGCCGTGGCCTTTTAACACACCCGGGGCTGTCGCCTGGGAAGGTCACAGGCTTTGCATTGCCTCCCTGCTACAGAGTTATGGGACAGAGCGAAAAAGAGCCCAATGTTAGTGTATGTTGGTCCCTCTGATACCATGCTAAAGGGACTGACCCTGGGGCTCGGGGTAAGAGTGCTGATGGCCGGGCTCAGTAGCCCTACCATTCGTGTCAGCTCTCAGCTGGCGTCCAGGCTGTCCGATGGAGTCAGGACGGATTTGGCCCGTGCAGGAGCAGTGCCGGTCCAGCCCGCAGTGGATGGAGAACCTTGACAACATGAACAATGGACCGCACATCATTTTCCTGAGGTGGTGCCGGTGCACGGGAAGATCTCTGCCAAATCTCACCCCCTCGCCAAGGCTTCCAGGTGTTTCTTTGTGTTTGCGCAGAGAACGAACATCATTTTTCCCTTCATTTCGGAAGAGGTGGTCCAAAGTGTCTCAGCGACAGTAGTTGCAACATGTCCGAGCGGGAATTTATTATCTCAGCCCCAATAGGTCTTAATAAGCCTTACACAACTGTTTAGGCATTTATTCTATTAACGGCTGTTCATTCTGGTGGCTTCACCTGAATATTCATGATCCTCCTATCCCCAGAGCTTCAGCACAGCAGCTGTTTGAAACCCGCAGCAAATGTTCAAGAGAGTTCCACAAATATAAACACCCTCCCCGCTGAACGGCCCAGCCTGGCCGCGCAGAGCCCAGCCATGAAACATTTATGTCCAGTGTGGTTTTTTGAGGGCAGCATTTACAAAACTTAAATCACCTCCCCCTTTGGGGAGTCCTTTACCCTGACTGGGACATGACCACTTGGACAGAGGGTCCAGGGAGCCCAGATTCACAAAGATAACTGCCTCTTCCCCCACCCCCCCTTCCTCCCATCACGGGAGGTTCTGAATGAATTCCAACTGGAAGTGAATCCAGAGCAACGCAGGGATGGGGTGCAGGTGGGACGTGCAGTACACACTTCAGGGGATGTTGCTGAGTTGGTTGTTTGTGAAGGATTGAGGGGATTCGTACAGGGAATGTTTTTAACATGAAAACACCAAAGAAAAAGGATTGCTGGTGGTTTTCCAAAGGGATCTAATTCAGAAGGATGGGATAAAATTAGCAAGAAGGCGACCTGACACGTGATTTAGTGAGATCTCCCCCTGGAGCATATGTTTTCTGCCTTTCAGGCCAGAAATGCCACGTAGACAAAGGTCAGGCCCATCTTTAGGACAGAACAGATCTGTTTCTCCTGGGCCAGTCACTTACCCGCTTTGTGCCTCAACTTCTTTGTTTATAAATTGGGGATGGCAGGGGAAATGTTGTGTCAAAGAAAATGATCAGTATGTTATAAACCGAGAGGATATTAATGTGCTACAAATACATGCCTATTGTCCTTAATTACACAAAGCATAAGGCTAAAGATGAATAGACATACTTTTCTAGGGGTTTTTTTGTGGGAAACCAAGGTCACTGCGACTAGTGAGAATGTAGGGTGAACATGTGGGGCTAGTACACGTGCTATAATACAGTTCGCTGGAGTAGAAAGAACATGGGTCATGCAGTCATATTGACTGGGTTCAAATCCCAGCATCACCACTGAAATTTGAGCAAATCATGTAGCTTTCTGAGCCTTGGTTCCTTTATCTGTAAAATGTAAAGGATATCTAACTGCCACTTTGGCTGCAAGGTTTGAGGTGCTGTGAGATACACAGCACAGGGCCTGGCATGGGTGTTCACCAGATGCGGGTGCCTTTTTCCACCTTTCCGCAGGAGCACAGCTGGCCTGGGCCCCCAGCAGGTCCACCCAGGGACATTCTGCCCCCAGCCGTGGGGATTTTAGAACCCAAGGCTGGGTGGATGGACGGAATAGTCCCATTGCCTGCCAATGGCTTCTCTAGCCAGAAGACCACCCCTAATGCCAAGAATGTGAAACCCAGAGCAGGGCAGGAGAGAAGACTCTAGCCCCTCCTTTTTGTATTGGCCTGGCAGGCTCATTCTTTCCTTGGGGACTCTATGGCATGGAAGGGGAAGGAGAGAGGTAAAGGCTTTACTGGAAGTTTATTCCAGGAGGAAAACTTCAATCGAAATTTCTCAAGGAAGATGATCATCCCTGGTTAAGTCCCCTTCTCTGTGCTTCCCCAGAACTTACCACATGTGTTGATTTTTTTTAAAATTCATTCCCCCCAGTAGATGAATGCTCCTTAACCTTTTGTAGATGCCATCTGCAGGTTCACATAAAATTCCCAAGTCTTCTTTTAATGGCATCTGGGATTCAAAATAAAAGAAATATCATGGTTAACATCAGATAAACCAATTACAATATCAGCAAGATTTTTCAAGCTGCTCAAGCTTCCTCCCCAATACAACTCCCTGCCTCAAGCCTGGAAAAGGTCATCATATAAGAGAATGAGAGGCCCAAACATGGAAAACACAAGTTAGTATAATATGTGTGATGTGTTATAGGAGAGAAACAGAGCAAGTCCTTGGGAGCACGGAGAGGAGGGATTCTGCTGGAGGCCCAGGGAAAGCTGCAGAGAGGTGGGATGATGTAAGTGGGCATTTTCTGGATGGGAAAGATGAACAGGCATTATAAGCACAAGCAACTGCATGGGCAAAGGTCTAAAGCAGGGGTCCTCAAACTTTTTAAACAGGGGGCCAGTTCACTGTCCCTTAGACCGTTGGAGGGCCGGACTATAGTTTTTAAAAAAAAAACTATGAACAAATTCCTATGCACACTGCACATATCTTATTTTGGAAGTAAAAAAACAAAACGGGAACAAATACAATATTTGTATTTGCATGTGGCCCACGGGCCATAGTTTGAGGACTCTTGGTCTAAAGCAAGGAAACGGATGATGTTGCAAAAAAATGGCCCAAAGTCCTTTGTGACTGATGTGGGTTGGTGGGGAGTAGAGGTAAAGTGGGTTAGGTCCCCTTACGCCATGCTGAAGAGTTGAATGCAATCCTATAGGCAGGAGCGAAGTAGCATCATCAGAGTTTTATTTTAGAAGAAAAATGCGTGCATGTTTGTGACAGACTCATTGATACAGAGAACAGACTGATGGCTGACACAGGGGAAGGGAGCTGGGGACTGGGTGGAAAAGTGAAGGGATTAAGAAGTACAAATTGGTATTTACAAAATAGTCATGGGTCTCTGTATCTACAGAGGCAGAGAAGCATCGAATAGACTGTCAAACTACAGCGGGAAGGCTGGGGAGGGTTAAGTGGGGGGGGGGGGAGGTAAGAGACCAACCAAAGGTCTTGTATGCATGCATATAAGAATAACCAATGGACACAAGACACTGGGGGCCGGGGGAGGTGAGGGCATGTGCTGGAGGTAGGAGAGGCCAGGGAAAGGTCAATGGGGGAAAAAAGGAGACATATGTACTACTATTTGTAATACTTTAAACAATAAAATAAAATTTAAAACAATAGTCATGGGGATGCAAAGTAGAACATAGGGAATATAGTCAGTAATATTCTAATAACCTTGTATGGTGCCATGTGGGTACTGGAAATGTCGGGGGAACCACTCGGTAAAGTATATAATCGTCTAACCACTATCCATACACCTAAAATCAATACAGAATAATATGGAATGTAAACTGAAATTGAAAAATAACAAATTTTTTAAATGTGAAAAGTAAATTTTTTTAAAAGTGGATCTGTTCTCTTGTAAAAAAAAAGAAAAGAGGAAGAAAATATCTAGCTGTGAAGTTATGACTTAATTAATACAGGTAGTAAGTGGTAGACAAATACTTAAATAAAAATGAATTTTCCTAAACAAAAAAGAAGTGAGAGGGGGAGACTAGAGTTAGAAAGAGCCTATTTTGCCTATTTAACCCTCCCAGTTACCCCATGGAGTACTATTTTTATCTCCATAGCAAGAGGAGCTCACAACTTGCTCTTCTGCTGACAAGTGGCAAAGCTGGGACTCAAACCCAGGTCTTCTGATGTCAAGTCTAGGGCTCTTTCCACTTCTCATCCTAACTCATTAGCTACTGCAGCCAAGACATGCAGACACTGGGTTGCTTTTTTGTGCTGTGGGCCTATTTAGCAGTCTGATGAAGCCTCTGAGCCTCTTGTCAGAATAATTTTTAATGCATAAAAGAAAATTCATTGAACTACCAAAAACACTAATAGAGCTGAAATCTAGTTATTAAAATATTTAAAACACTGTACTATGGTAATTTAAGTGCTTCTTTATTAATTCATCAAAAAGCAAGCTCTATTTGAGGGATTAGTAGTGACTAGAATTCCAAAATGATGGCAAATACAAATCATTTTTAAAACATATCTTCAGTGACTGCAACGCAATATGAAAACGTCTGTGATACCTACTAGTGACATTGTTCTGAGTTTTCCTCATGCAACTGTGACTTGCCTCTAATCATCACCAATAAAAATGACAAATTTCAGTTATACAGGGTGGAGCAAAAGTAGGCTTATAGTTGTTCATGTAGAAAATAATAAAATAATTAATTAAAATTATATAATAATAAACTGTGTTTTGCATACTCCCAATGTAAACCTACTTTTGCCCCACCCTGTTGATCAGTGAACATAAAGGTATAATTTTTCCCCACCCAGATCCACAGACCCATGGGCCCTGGTTAATAACCTCAGGAAGTGTTTCAAATTTGAGACAATCTATGAGAGTGATTTCTAAAATATTTAGGAACAGGATCCTTTTATTTCAAATGAACTTCAATGATGAAATAGTTCCAAGCAGAAAGGTTCTGATTGGAGCAGTGTGTAAAGGACTTGAAGACCCATCCGCGGGGTCTGCTCCTCATGTCTCTCAGGCCCAGGCACCCCCGAGGGAGCAGGCCCATGAGGTTTCCCAACAGGTACTGGCAGGGCTCAGCTTTCTTAAGACAGAAGTCTGGAAAGTTCTCTGGTGACAATAACCCTTTTCCAGAAAACACACTGCCCTCCCACTCTCAGGAAAGCGTGTGTCCAGGGAAAGTTTCTGAGCAGCCTTGGTCCTAGCAATAGTCCAGAGGTAGCATTGTTCCTACATGGGCCCTCCCAGTGAACAGTAACGGTTTCAAGCTAATAAGGAAATAATCCATTTTCAGCAGATGAAAGAAGAGGGATCAGAAAGGTAACTTGAGCGGAGGGTAATAAGTAGTGCCAAAAACTTATAATGGAAACTATCTAAAGAATCCAAGACCCTTTGTTAGATATGAATGATTTCTTTTTTCTGGTGAAAAGTGTATGAAGAACTTGAGAAGAAGGGCCTGGGCGCAGTTTATGAAACAGCCTCTGTCTGGGGAAGAAGGGCCCGGGGTAAGGTTGCAGCTCCACTGTATCCTTAAGTTACGTAACGGGGAGGGAGTTGAAAGATGTTCAAACCACCACAATATGATGTGCTCTGTCTTTGAACTCTTTCCTCCGGGTTTTAACTGTAAGTTCATACATGTTTCCTTGCAATGTCTCTCTCACTGGGTGTGAATATAGAGCAGAGGCAGAAACAAATTTAATTAAGAACAAATTCTATAAGGGGCGCTATGCACACCTGATGTTCCCCACCCTGAGTGCCAAAATCTTTACTGTAATTTGTAATTCAGGAAGAATCCACCTACTCGAGATACCTATACAGAACAATGCTTTGAAGTTTCTAAAGGCAAAAGTTTTATAAACACATTAAATGGATTTTATTGACAATGTCTAATCCCAATTTGACATAAAACTAGAATCTGTCAGCTCTACTAGCAAAATGCAAAGAGCTAGAAAATAGATATAGTGGGCTACGATATCAGTTTAAAATGCCTTTTACTCATTCATTAATTTATTTTAAACTATTTATTGAGTGGCTATTATGGTCAATGGACTAAACAAGATGCCATAAATACATTGAGAACAGCACATGGTCCTTTGATCTCATGGGACACATATTCCAGAAGGGAGACAATCAACCAATACTTATTCAGTTCGCCTGAAAGAGCTGGTTCTCGGTCTTCAGTGTGACTAAAAATCACCCAGAACACTTATTAAAAATAAAAATATATATTCCTGCCCAGCCAGTGTGGCTCAGTGGTTGAGCGTCAACCTGTGAATCAGGACGTCACAGTACAATTCCCAGTCAAGGGCACATACCCGGGTTGCAGGCTTTATCCCTAGTAGGAGGTGTTCAGGAGGCAGTTGATCAATGATTCTCTCTCATCATTGATGTTTCTATTTCTCTCTCCCTCTCCCTTCCTCTCTGAAATCAATAAAAATCTATTTAAAAAAATACATATTCCTGCTCTGGCTGGTGTTTCCCAGTGGTTGGAGTGTTGGCCTAAGCACTGAAGGGCCACTGTTCTGATTCCCAGTCAAGGGGACCTACCCGGGTTTCAGGTTTGATCCTGGCCCCACTAAGAGCAAGTACAGGAGGCAGCCAATCGATATGCCTCATGCTATCTCTCTCTCTCTCATTCTCTCTTTCTCTCTCCCATCCCTCCCACTCTCTCTTAAAATAAAATTAATGGAAAAAATACCCTCGGGTGAAGATTAACAACAACATGAATACATATACCTGATCCAGCAAACCGGAAGTGGGTTGAGGAAGGAGCATTTTTTAAACAAGCTTGACAGTGAGCCCAGTGCCGGTGTTTGGCAGACTAGGCCTGGAAGGACAGCACACTAATGAGACTACAGAACAGTCTGCCTTCCTGAGCCCACTGCTCTCATCGCAGGCTCTTCACCCAGGAAGTTTCAAACGCCTTGCAAGTGCACCTTCTTCCTTGCCTGCACACTTTCTTAGGAGTTCAGCCTTTAAATACTAGGTCCTACCTGGTAAATAATTTATTTCTAGGGAAAACTGATTCCCTCCAACACTTGGAAAATGCCTTCGGTATTTTACTGCAGCTCTCTAACCTGAACCATCTGCCCCTCCTTGTTTAGGCAGAGGCATAATTTCAACATTCTGTGAGCTTCAGCAGCAGGAGGAGGGGTTCACACCCCCTTGGGTACGAAGAGTGACATATTGCTTGCAAGGTGCTTGAGTCCTTCCAACACTATAAAACAGCCCACCCCACCTAGAATTATCAAAGAGCATGACTGTTTGGCCTCTTCATATTCATACCACACACACACATACACATACGTACATCCATGCACATACAAATAGGTTTACATATAAAATCTACCTGACCAAAACCTGCCATTTCCTTAATCTTAAAAAGTATTAATTTTCAAACTCTCAGCTGTAAAGCTAGTAATCCATACAAGAATTTGGCTCTTGCCCTCACCGGTGTGCCTTAGTTGGTTAGACATCATCCTGTGCACCAAAACGTTGCCGGTTCGATTCCTAGCAGGGCACATGCGCAGGTTCCCCAGTAAGGCACTTGCAGGAGGCAGCTTATCAATGTTTTCCCTCTCACATTGATGTTTCTCTCTCTCTCCTTCTCCCTTTCTCTCTTTAAAAAAAAAATTAATTAAAAAAAAAAAGATTTGGCTCCTGTCAATTCTATTTTCATAAAGATACCACGAAGTGAAGAACTCCAGTCTCCAAATGCAATGTCACTTTCTCCTCCCATAGATGACAGCGTTAGGATCACCCTTGAGATGACACCATGCCTGGACCTTACTGTGGTTCAACCCCTAGCTCCAACCAGGTAAAGCAAGACCAGCTTTTATCTCCCTCAGAAGCACAAACTGTTGCTGAATAATAACCTCTGGACCAATTAACTACATCCCAGTGGATTTAAGCGTAATACTTTTTAAAGTTAGTTCTTATAATTTTTATTTCTTCTTAATATGGTAATACCTTACTAATAAAAAATTAATTACTCAAGGCTGAGCTGAATTAGTGAAAAGTGTGAATTATAAATGATGTCTTTCAGAACAGTTTTGTTACTATAAAATACAAGATTAAGTAAGTGTTGCCAAGTAGAAGGCATGCTGCCCTGCCCTGCTTTAATGAGTAGATAAGAATAATTTGTAATTAGCATACGAAGGCTGCTAAATTGCTTTTTAAAACATTCTTAGGTTCTTAGCGTAGGAAGTTCAGGCTTCCGCAGCACACATCACTGAGAGTTTTCCAAAGCTGGCTCTATGAATACTCAATAAGGGGTTATGGCAGATTTAAACACTGGATAATTTTTGAAGTCCATTTTAGCTCAAAACTTCCATAATTCTGTGATTAACTGAACTTAACATATTTTGTTTAATTTGGTAAAAAAAATTTTATGAATTATCATAAATTCCAAACTAATGAAACCCAAATTGATAGATTTTGCCGAATCCAATTACTCGCCTCATTTCTTGATTTTCATAGGGAAGCTAATATTCGGTGCCTTGTCAAGAGTGTCCTGTTCCCTGACATCTAAATGAAGAAAAGGGGGAAACCTCACCTCTGACATGGAGAGCAGAAATTGACATGTGAATCACAGTGCACTGTTTACTTCCAAATGTGCTGGGTCTTTTCATGTTCACAGTTCTTTGTACAATAAGGATAGTGATTATTAATAACACCATGTTAGCGAAAGAGAACCCAAGGATCTGTGAGCGCTTTCAGAATTAGAATTCAGGTCTTCTGACTTCAGAGACTACTCAGTATGAAATAGAAGCTCAATGTGTATTGGTTTAATGAATGAACAAGTTGATCATCAATCAAACAATAATTAGGGATAACCTAATTCAAAGAAAGCACTGATAAGCAAAGCAAGACAATCATTTGAACAGTAAACACCGTTCAGATAGATAGGAATGCAGAAATGCTATCAGGATCCATGAGCCAGACTAGATACAGAATTCTCAAGGCCTATTGAAAAATAAATATGCAAGTCCTCTTGTTCAAAAATCATTAAGAATTTTAAGACAGCAACAAGATATCATTAAACCAAGCCCAGAGCCCTTCTGAGAACAGGAGGCCCCTGGGCAACTCCACAGATCACAGGCCCATGAAGCCAGCCCTGTGCATGAACTTGGAAAACCTAGAGTTTGATTCCTGCTGGGAATGGTACCATCCTGTTTACATCACTTCAGATATTGGTGGGCGGGAACTTCTTGGCACAATGCTTGGAGGCCCTATGAGAGGTAGAGACAGCCCTGCATGGTAAAGAATCCTCCTGCTACCCAGAGAAAATTTGAATGTCCCACAGGATATTCACATTGGTGAAAAGCCTATTTATAATTATCTGAGAGTGAAACCCACCTTTGTTGGACATATCCTGAATTCTCCAGAATGTGAGTACTCTGTTGATTCTTGGGAAGACTGTGTGTTGCTAGTTCAGAACGTTATCATTACAGTTACATTAATGACAGCAGCATGTCATTCAAGGTGGTGCTCATGACTCCTGACTCCTTTGTTACATCTTCTCGTAGAGTCCTAGCTGTGCATTTATGTAAGGAACACGTATACTTTATCATAAATTATTTTCCTTTTATGTTACAGTTAGAACATTATTTCTTTCTAATTGGTTAGAGGTAGGTTATACTGAGAGAGCATTTTATTGCCTGTTGGCAAAAGGAGATTTCAAAATATTTGTTACATAAAGAGGCTTTGGGTATGAAAGAGTTGAGAACCAGAGGCTTAGAGGCATGAGATTACAGAATGTTTCAGCTGGAAGGAATTTGAGAGATTATCAGCTTCACTGACAGATAAGGAAATTGGGGCTGAAATAGATTATGTCTCTTGCCTAAGGTCACTCAGCGATTATTGGCAAGGTCAGGACTTGAACCTATGCTAATTTCCAGAACTATGCAATTATTTTCTTCTTTCTTCCTTCCTACCTCCCTTCCTTTCTGCCTACCTTCCTTCCTTCCTTTCTTCCTTCCAGCAAACACAACTGAGCTCTTTGTGCCAGGCACTAGAGTGGGTGCTGATGATGCAGAGATGACTAAGACACAGGTTCCCTTAATGAGATCCCAGACTGACCAGAACACAGGGCAAATCCCACATGTGGTTCAGCATGCTCTAGACCAGACCTACATTCAAAACATCATGAGGAGCAAATGATTGAGTCTTCCTCAGGGAGTTGAATGCAAAGGTGGAATTTGAATCATGAGGTAGAAGGACGGTCTTTTGCTTTTTAGGGACAAGGGAACCCTCATTCTAAGCAGCTCCACAGAGCAGACAAAGACATAGTGACCAAAGTGAGACTATCTGTAATCAGGTGTTGGCTGTCCACAGCCCTTAAGGCCAAGGGGTAATTTCCAGAAGTACAGGGTTGGTCAAACACAGCCAAACACAGACAACCAGAGAGTAGGATTGGCTTAGAGGACTTGGGGTTCCCTGTGGAAATGCAGGGGGACTTCTCTGTGCTGCTCCGTAGGTGACCAGGGCCTGCTAAGCCTTTGAGTTCTGTGGGCACCAGCCAGAGTGCAGACTAAGAAAAGAGCTCTTTGACTGCTGAAGTGGTTAAGTGGAACACCTTATTGATTCCCACCTCGCTTGGAATAGACCTCAATTACCAGCATCAAGTGCTTTAATAAGAGCAAAGGAAAGATTTACTGGATGCAAGTGCTTTTCATTAGAGGGGACTGAGAGGAAATAACACCTGCTGGCCCACCAGGGAGGGGCCGTGGCGTGGCCTCCAGCCCAGTGACTGCCAACCAGACAGGAAGGTGAGTAAGAGGAAGTCCAATGAGAGCACCTGGGCTGCTGCATATCAGAAGTGTTATCAGATTGCCAGGCTGTCTGCTTCCCTCCTCCTCTTCCTCTCTACACAGCAAACCCCGCCACCCGGGACGCTCGGGCACAGGCAATGTGGCTGCCACCTCCTGAGAGCAGAGCCAGGCTCCCGCTTGGTGTTTTTTAGGCATTATCTCTAATTCTCACCCCAACCCTACTAGAGATGTGTAATTTTTCCACATTACAGGGAAGAAAAGTAAAACTGATTAAATGACTCCTAAATGATGGGTCCCAGGGTCTCTGGCACCAAGCCTGTACTTGAAAAATTTTCTCTTGGAATAGGACTTGGCAGGAATCTATCTTTCCTCTCAAGGTTTTGAGTTAAATCCACCCTAACCTACATAAACTGACCAAATTTTTATTTTTATTGAGCAACTACTATATGTCAGATACCAAGAAAATATTATGCCATTGTGTCTTCATAACCAGCTTAGGGGGTTGCCCTACTGTTATTCTCCCCATTACAGAGACGAGTTAACAAGGCCTGAGAAGTTACTCAATTAGCATGTGGCAAAGTGAGACCTTGAACACAAGGTGGTCAGAGTCAAGATCCCATGCTTGAACCAACTGCATACCAGATGTTTCTTGAAGAAAGGATAAATGAAAGGTATAGCTGTGCAAGCTAAGTAGACAGGACTCAGGGAATGCACCATGCATTCAAATATTAAACAAATATTTATTGAGCTCCTACTTCACCTCAAGCATTTTGCTAAGCCGGAGGGATACAGTGATGATTCTGAGAATAATATTATTTGGGGGGCAGCTTACTATACATGAGGAACAAATAAGTGAGAAAAGACCTGACAGAGTTGAGTACAATAAAGAAAACAAAACAGGGCACAGTAGATGGGTCTGCTTTATAATGGGGTGACCAAGTAGGGGTCACCTAGGAAAGTTGTTCGTAACCTGCGTCCTCAATGACAAGAAGGTTCTAAGCATGCAAAGGTCTAGTTCAAAAGCATTCTAGGTGAAGCAGAGAGTGCAGAGTCCGAAAGACAGAAAGGAACTTGGTGCATCCTCAGAAGAGGAGAAGGCCCCTGGGATCAGGATGAACTGAGGGAGAGGGAGGGGACATGCAGTCTGCAAGGAGGGGGGGCCAGTCTCCCGGGGCCTGGCAGGCCATCATACAGAATTAGATTTTATTCTGTGTAAGAGAGGAAGACATGGAAGTGTTTTAAGCCTTTTAAATGATTTGTGTTTTAAAGACATAATTTTAGCTGCTGTTTGGAGGGGGGCTCAAGAAAATGCAGGGAAATAGATGAGTGGTAGGGTATTGCAGGAGTCCAGCCCCAATAATGTCGTCGCAGATGTGGCGCAGGGAGGAGATGTAAAGAAGTAGTCACATCTTGAATACACTGTGATCCAACTTTTGTAAAGAGGAGAAAGCAGCTACCTTTTGACCGCCTGGAGGTGCTTCCTGCCAGCCACTCTCATTAACTGGCTTCTGCCACATCAGGCTGAAAATTCAACTGAAATAACAGAATGTGATGTCGCCATCTCCTCTGCTCACCTTGAGAGGGTTTTATGAAGTGTCACAAGAAACAATGCTTGTCAGGCCGCCCAGCAGCTCCCCTGACCACTGCTCACAGTGGCCCAGACGCAGAGGAAAACCAGGGCAGAGACCTCCCTGTTTCCTGAAACAGCCCCTTAGATGGTTACTGTGGTCCAAGTGACAGTTACTCCAGAAGAAACAGAAAATAGGAATAACTAGAGGAAATTTGAGGTCTTCAGGGGGTACCATCTAATATCTTTAAGAGCAACTTAGGATGCCCGGCCAGCATGGCTCGGTGGGTGAGTGCCAACCTTTGAACCAGGAGGTCATGGTTTGATTCCCGATCAGGGCACATGCCCGGGTTGCGGGCTCGATCCCCAGTGTGGGGCATGCAGGAGGCAGCCAATCAATGATTCTCTCTCATCATTGATGTTCCTATCTCTCCCTCTCCCTTCCTCTCTGAAATCAATAAAAAGATATTTAAAATAAAAGTATAGCCCTAACTGGTTTGGCTCAGTGGATAGGGTGTCAGCCTTCAGACTGAAGCGTCCCAGGTTTGATTTTGGTCAAGGGCATGTACCTTGGTTGCGGGCTCAATCCCCAGTAGGGGGTGTGTAGGAGGCAGCTGATTGATGTTTCTCTCTCATCGATGTTTCTAACCCTCTATCCTTCTCCCTTCCTCTCTATAAATAATCAATAAAATATATTTTAAAATAAAAGTATAAATAAAAGCAGTTTAGGAGTGTGAGGTTTGTCTACCACCAATAGGTTTACCAGTAAGTACTTCTTCTAGAAATCAGGGGAAATTCATCTGAAGGTGGCAGGCAATCATCTGCAGGTCTGACTCTGAGAGACAGAAGGTTGGGCACAAGGTGAACTGTCAGGAAGAAAAAAAGAATCGAGGGAACCCTAGAGAAGATGGGCCTCGTACATAATTGATCTGACAGATTACTGCCCACTTCATCATCGCAGCTGAATTACGGCCACTCTCCCCCGTGGGAGTGCATTTGTGTTTAAGGGCATCAGACCCCAGCTAGTAAGGGAAGTGTTTAAGTGGGAAAGATAACATGTCTGTCAGTCTGAGCTAGTGATTCTGGAAACCCAAATGCCATGCCAGAGCCTTAGGATTAAAAATACACAAATCTAACTCTAACCCAAATCAGAAGGCATTTTGTCCATTGAGCAAAGGCAGGGGTTTATGACAACTGCCCCTCCTGACTTTTGGTTGGTTAATTATATTGGAAGAAAAAAATGCTGTGTTCTGGGGATCTTCATCAAAAAAATGGTACTAGTATTTCTCTTGGCTACCTGGGTTTGATTTCTTCCAAAGGGTAGGATAAAGGATGTTCATAATTTAATGAATAAATATGTATTTAATACCTGTCACTCATCCATCATTCTGCTAGGAACAACATGAAAACAAGATAAGCAAACCATCTCTCACCTCATGGACTTTATAATCCAGTTCATTTTTAGACCTTTTTAGCTATTGAGGCATTTCTATGTTAAAGGGTTAAATCCAATTTAATATAAAAAATCTGTATTGAGCTCATATTCTGAGCAAAGTAATAAAAGACAACAAGAATTACTCATTCAAATAAATAAGACAACAAGTGTGAATATACTATATATGTATGTTTTGGGGAGAAACAGAGTTCACCGAAATCTAGATAACGGCCTGAAGGAACCTGCCCTGTGGGAGGGATGATAAAACTTGCATAAAGATAACTAAAATCAATGACAGGAAATGATAAACATCATTGAAAAAGAGAAGTGCCCATAAAGAATTTTAACAGCAAGAACAAGGGGCTGGGAGATGGGCAAAATCTATTCTTCTGCCTCAACTTCCCACTTCATTTATTTACTTGACAAATATAATGTGAATTCTTGCCTCATTCTAGATATTGTTAGAGCCTTTAATGAACATGAGACTAGAAAACAGAGAGATGCCAATTCACTGGGATGAGTACAGAAGATGCCGTGGAAAAACATAGTCCAAGTCGGCTTCTGGTGAGAGACAGCAAAGGAAGGTTTTACCAGGCAGACGAGCTTTCTCTGGGTGTGAAAGAAAAGCTGACATCTCAGAAGAGGGAGGACACAGTGCTCTGGGCAGTAATTACAGGCTCTCCAGTGAGAGATGTGGAGGGAAGCAGAGTACAAGTGGGAAGCAGGGGAGGAGGCCAAGGGGGAGGTCCGCCAAGCCTCTC